TTTGGCATTTTACCTCAGCCTCAATTTGTTCTTAATTTGTTCCTTATTTTTTGGCAATTTCAGCTGCAATGTTCTTACAAAAAAGTGTATTTCTTGTAGTTGATAAAGAGGCCAGTGTTTGTTTGCATTTCTTTTACTGTGTTTTTTTTTTAAATATTTCTATTCTAATACGTTTCTGGTAATCAGTTTGGTAACTGCATAAGCACATAACACTCACTTAAAAACCACACAACTAATGTGATGTTCAAACCATACAGTTTGTAAGCTAACATAACGCCCTCTGGAGTAGAGAAGAGAATAAAATAGTTCAGTAACAAATCGTTATATTGACTTAAGCATGTTCTTTTGTTGCTCTGTTTTACACAACATAGTAATTATCAAAGAACGAAATACCTAATTTTCTGGAAGCACGCCTATTTTGATATTAAAATTTAAGTAGTTTGCTTAGCCTAAAATTAATGTATTTAAAATATTTTTTTATCTACAGTTTCAATTAAGGAGCCAAAAACAGGTATCAATTGTGATTTATGATTTGGATGACCTTCAACCTCAAGTGTTTCGAGTGTCACATGAGCCACCAAAAAAAACTTATTCTACAATCTTTGCGCATAATATACGTATATTTGGTGATTGCATATTATTCACAATTTTCCAAGGTAAAAAAAAAGTTTAACAACAAAAACTAATTATATAAAAAAAATGTATCTAGATCTTTAAGAATTAAAGTTATTTTTGTTTTAATTGATTTTTAAATGCAAACAAAAGTGCTCACATTTTTGCTTCTATTACGTAGCCTGGCAGACATTCCAGTATGTACACTCTGCCGCGTGCGATTTTCTCTGAATTGTTGCTGAAAGGTGTGATATCTTAATTTTATGTTTATAAAATCTGGACAAAATATTAATGTTTTAATGGTATCTATTTAAAATCCATTCTTTTATGAGGTCTCATTCGAGGTATTTAAATATTTGTTTCAAAACATTGACAGTATAATCAATGTATCCTTCAAAAAGTTTGCAGATAATTCTAAGAGGATTACGATGATCGAAGAACATTGAATCTGTTGTGATTCACAATTTACGAAGGTAATATTAAAAGTTCAACGACAAAAACTAATTATAGAAAATGTATCTGGATTTTTAAGAATTAAAGTTATTTTTGTTTTAAATGATTTTTAAATGCACACAAAAATACTTACATTAGGGCTTTTATTACGTAGCCAGCAGGCATTCCAGTATGTACAACCTGCACGTGCGATTGTATCTAAATTGTTGCTGAAAGGTGTGATATCTTATATTTATGTTTTTATACACTGTTCGACTGTCTTACAATCACCTGGAAAAATACGGTAACATTTCTTCTTCTACTGCCAACATTCTTTCTTGGCTGAGATGGTATTCCAATTACTGTGAAGCACTTAATATTTATTGATTCAAAACTTAGCAAAGCTCGCTAACATTGAATATGATGATTGTGGTCATACTCAACCACGGTACAGTTGACCACAGTCCTAAAATCTGATTTTTTATAAGTATAGAGAAATCTATTGGATTCCTAGTGAAAAAGTTATACTTTGTTTTGTTTGGAGATTCAACTCTCTTGTTTGGAATTACATCATCTAAAAGGTTTTTTGCCAGTGCTGAGTTCACCCGGAGACGATAATGCCTAAGCCCGATAAATGTACGATGCCAGCCAGTAAGGTACCGGTCACAACTACAGTTAGTAAGTCTACGCTTAACGATATTAATAGGCCTACACATGAAGTACCCAATGCTACCTGCCTGGGTAGCGTGAACAATGAAAGTTACGTAACATCCAGACAAAAGGATCTTATCTTACCAAGCGTGAAACCGATCTTTTTTAAAGACGACGATGTACGTAAAGAAAACAATGGCTTTCTGACTGAGGAAAAGATTTACTTCGCTCTGTGTGATCTCATTAGTGGTGAGAGCTTAATCGGAATACAGAAAGTAAAGAACCTGTGGAGAATCTATCTAGATAGCCATGAGGACAGAGTAAAAATTATTTCTGCTGGGATTAACATAAATTCAAGAAACGTAACAGTGTATGACACGAATCCATATTTGCCTTCGCACAATGGTATACGTGTTCTTATAAAAG